TAAGGGTCGCCTGTACCCGTTGTCCTTACCTGAACGGCAGGCCATGAGGGATTATATTGACGCGGCTCTACGGGCAGACATAATTCATGAGTCTTCGTCCCCTGCTGGGGTATGTTTTTTCTTTGTGGCTAAGAAGGACAACACTTTACGTCCGTGCATCGATTACCGGGGTCTCAATGACGTCACCATCAAGAACAGGTACCCCCTCCCACTGGTCTCTTTGGCTTTTGAACTCTTACAAGGTGCTACAGTTTTTACTAAGTTGGATTTAAGGAATGCTTATCATCTTGTGAGAGTGAGGGAGGGGGATGAATGGAAGACTGCCTTTAATACGCCCAGTGGGCATTATGAGTACCTGGTGATGCATTTTGGTCTCTCTAATTCTCCTGCGGTTTTTCAGGCTTTGATTAATGATGTACTTCAAGACATGCTCAATTATTTTGTTTTTGTGTACCTAGATTATATTCTGATTTTCTCCCCTGATATGCAGTCCCATATCCAGCATGTGCGGAGGGTTCTTCAATGCCTTCTCCAACACCAGCTCTATGTGAAGGCGGAAAAGTGTGCCTTCCACGAGTCTTCCGTTCATTTCCTTGGGCTTGTTGTGAGGCAGGGAGAGATCCAGATGGATCCATCAAAGGTGGAGGCGGTCAAGAACTTGCCGGTCCCTACCTCGAGGAGAGAGGTGCAGAGGGTTTTAGGTTTTGCAAACTTTTACCGATGGTTTAAGGGGTTTCAGTAGCATTGCCGCCCCTTTGCACGCTCTGACCTCCCCAAGTGTCAGTTTTCTATGGTCCTCTCAGGCAGACAAGGCCTTTCTGAGTCTTAAGAACTGTTTCACTTCAGCTCCGATTCTGGTAATGCCTGACACCCAGATCCAGTTTATTGTTGAGGTGGATGCCTCTGATGGGGGAGTGGGGGCTGTTCTCTCTCAGCACTCCGAGGTGGATCACCGCATTCACCCCTGTGCATTCCTGTCACGCGAGCTGTCTGCCACTGATAGAAACTACGACATTGGGGATCGTGAGCTATTGGCCATTAAAGTGGCCTTGGAGGAATGGTGCCACTGGCTCGAGGGGTCCAAGCTGCCATTCATCGTGTGGACCGACCACAAAAATTCAGAGTACCTGAGATGGGTCAAGAGGTTGAATCCTCGTCAAGCCAGGTGGGTTTTGTTTTTTACTTGTTTTAACTTCACTGTGTCTTATCGACCCGGTTCAAAAAACGTGAAGCCTGATGCTCTGTCCCGCCTGCCTAACACAGTTTCCTCTGTTCCCGAGGTCCCAGCACCTGTCCTCCCCTTGTCTTGTGTGGTTGGAGCAGTGACCTGGTCTGTGGAGGAGCAGGTAAAGCACGCAGCTGCTTCTGTTCAGGCCCCTGATGGTTGTCCTCCGAACCAGCTTTTTGTTTCCCCTAAGCAGAGGTCTCAGGTCATTCACTGGGCCCATGCTTCCAGTTTTTCATGCCATCCAGGTGTCAAAAGAACAATGTTTGTAATTCAGCAACGGTTCTGGTGGCCATCTATGAGACGTGATGTCGCTGAGTATGTGGCAGCCTGTCCTGTATGTGCTCGGCACAAGACCTCCCACACATGTCCTTCGGGCCTACTTTTCCCTCTCCCCTTTCCCTCTCGACCCTGGTCACACATCTCTCTGGATTTTGTTTCCGGGCTACCTGTTTCTGAAGGTAATATGACTATTCTCACTGTAGTCGACTGGTTTTCTAAGATGGTGCACTTCATTCCCCTTTCTAAATTACCCACGGCCAAGATGACCGCAGAGGTATTATTGTCTCAGATTTTTAGGATCCATGGTTTCCCGGTTGACATCATTTCAGACCGTGGCCCTCAATTCATTTCTCGTTTTTGGAAGGCCTTTTGTTCCCTCTTGGGGTCTTCTGTCAGTCTCTCTTCAGGTTACCATCCCCAGAGTAACGGGCAGGCTGAGAGGCTAAATCAGGAGCTTGGAACTGGTCAACGCATCCTTGACGCCGAGTGCCCCTCGACGTGGTGTAAGCACCTGGTGTGGGTGGAGTTTGCTCACAACACAGGGCAACGGTGGCACAGGAGTTAAGTGCTCGCCCTGTAATCGTAAGGTTGCAGGTTCGAGCCCTGCTCAGTCTATCGCTGCCGTTGTGTCCTTGGGCAAAACACTTAACCCACATTGCCTGCTGGTGGTGGTCGGAGGGACTGGTGGCGCCAGTGCTCGGCAGCCTCACCTCTGTCAGTGCACCCCAGGGCAGCTGTGGCTACATCGTAGCTCATCCCCACCAGTGTGTGAATGGGTGTGTGAATGGGTGAATGACTGATTGTGTTGTAAAGCGCCTTGGGGGGGGGGGGGGGGGTCCAGGACTCTAGAAGATGCTATATCAAATACAGGCCATTTAACACATTGCCAACCGCTTCTAAGGGTCTTTCCCCATTTCACTCTGTGTAAGGTTATCAACCGCCTCTGTTTCCAGCTCTAGAAGGGGAGGTCAGCGTCCCTTGTTCGGCGTTGTCGTAGGACCTGGGTTAGGGCACGTTGCTCCCTCCTGAGGCAATCTACATCCTACAAGTTGGCTGCTGATCGTCTCAGGGTCCCTGCTCTGGCCTACAGGGTGGGACAGAGAGTGTGGCTTTCTACTCGGGACCTTGCCCTCTGTACAGACTCTCGTAAGTTGTCCCCGAGATTTATTGGGCCATTTCCTGTATCGAAGGTCATTAACCCTGTGGCTATTAGACTCAAGCTCCCCAGGACCATGAAGTGCCATCCGACATTTCACGTTAGTCAGGTTGAACCGGCCAGGGAGAGTGCATTGGTTCCTGCCTCCCGACCCCCCCCCCCCCCCCCCCCCCCCCGATGGTTGAGGGGGGCCCGGTCTATTCAGTGAGGCGGCTGTTGGCTGTGCGGCGTTGGGGTCGGGGTCGTCGATTCCTCGTTGATTGGGAGGGTTACGGGCCTGAGGATAGGTCTTGGGTGCCTGCTGGCGATGTACTGGATCCCTCCCTGATTCGGGACTTTTATGACCGGCACCCGGACATTCCCGGCCCGTCGGGCGCCGTGCGTGGTGTGGGGGGGTGATGTCATGGGTGGTTCTGTAGGTTGAGTGCTTTGCAGTCATGTTTCTGGTTTTATTGTATTTCTGGTACTTCCTGTTTTAGTTTGTGTATTCACTTCCTGTCTCATTACAGGTAGCTTCACAACCTGAGACTCCTCACTAATCAGCCTTATGTTTTGCACCTGTGTCCTGGCTTCTCCATTTATGCTTCTTTGCAAACAGTTTCCTTTGCCAGTTCATCTTCTTCAGTTGAGTAAAGTGAACCTGCTCTCAGTAACACTTTGTGTGAATGTATTTAGTTAGTTTTGGACTTGTTCTGTTGTGCTGTACTGCCAGGAATCCCTTCAGCTTATTAAACTGTGTGAGCTCTGCATTTGAGTCCTCTTTTGTGCTTTGATAATATTGACCTATTCCAGACATTGATATCGGAACGGGACATCCCTAGTCTGAATGATCTCTTCAGTGCTCTACACTTTCGGCCATTAACTATAATCTGTATGCAAACAATAAGTTAAACAGCGATATTAGCTAGCTAAATATCTTATTTAATGTGCATACACTGAAGTTGTATTTTTTTATTGGCACTATTGGCATAATTTCTAATTGTGCATAATAATGTTGTCAGTTGCACTGAGCAGTCTGTGTGTGACAGATGAATATAATTATTTTTTTTTTAGCAGAAGCAGAAACTCCCGAGTCTGGAATCTGGCCCTAAGGTAAATCTTAACTCTGCTGTAAGTTCAGCCCCCCCCCCCCCCCCCCCCCCCAACCCCGTGAATCTCTGAGGAGGCAGAGCTCACGTTCAGCTGCATTCGTGACACCTTCACTAACCAATCAGCTGCAAGTTCCATGCCCACACGGGCCAATGACAGCAGCTTGTCGGCGTGTCTGCCCGCGGCGAGGTGCGTATTTTGGAGTTTGGTTAATGACTGCAGCAAGAAAACAGTGTCTGAGCGCACCGAGCCGGCTCTGCTGTCTGTACTCCGTGTGTGTGCGCGCGCGCCTGGCAGCGGCCACTCTCCTGTCATGGAGGGTCCACATCAGTCTGACATGCAGGATGGCATGTTCCTGTGACCTTCTCAGATATTCACAGGGACTTAACTCTTATTGATTTGTCTGTTGGTTTGTGGGAGCGCATTCGGAGCGCAGCAGCGGTCGCCGGTGCGTCTCCAACTTGACCACCACCAGACAATGGGAGCAGCTGAGCCGTGCTACTGCAGCGCTAAGTATTACTACTACTACAGCTCGCCCCTGGGAGACAAGTACGAGACGAGGAGGGAGAATCAGCATCAAGAGGCGGGGGAGAAGAAGGAGAGGGAGAGGAAGAAGAGGAGGCACACTTGTTCTACCTGCAGACATTCCTCTCTGAGCAGCAGCAGCAGCAGCGCCGGGACTCCCTCAGCAGCAGATACGCACGGATCCAGAGCCACGCTCCAGATGCCCCAGGGACGCGTGTGAGACGGAGCTGCCAGATGTGAGAGGAAACACTCCTCTGTGTGTTGATTTGGGGTTTATAACACATGCATGATTGTTTCAGCGCCCTGAAAACACCAGAAAGCAGCTTTCCGCAGTCCAACAGCCTCTGAAGGGAATATGTCCCGTTTCGTTTTCACCTGCGGCGGAACGCATGGACCGGACTTAAGTCACTGGGTGTGTTTGCGTGTCCGTTAACAGCAGCCTGTGAGCGGCTGCTCTTCTCTGAGACCAGAGAACCCCCTCCCTCCCTCCTTTGTCCCCCTTTGCCTCCCCTTCAAGCCAAAACCTGGACGCGCTTCCTGCGGCCGCTTGCCGCTGTCCGTGGTCCTGAACGCGTTTTCCGTGTGGATTTTATGGATTCTTTCCCTGCTCTATTGTGGACCTAGAAGTGGGACAGCATGATCTGACCGAGAGCGGAATCATGAGCACCCCGCGGCTCGGAACCGACGGACACGGGATCTGAATCCCCTATTAAAAAAAAAAAGCGGTCCATTTTCAGCTCACCTTGGAGGTCGTAAACCATAACCACAGCCCCCCTCCCCTCTCATTCTCCTCCTTCACCTCTGAAGGATTGTCTTTTCTAAAGAGGGAATTCGTCCTCTGAAGAGTGTGACCCCCCATTCCAGCAGCATCTCCACAAACCCCCTTCAAGGAAAATGAGACTGGGAAAAATGTGCCGACTAAACGCACTGGGGATATATTTGTGGGAAACTCTAGTATTTTTCAGGTAAGCAGAGACATGAAATTGACTTCATGGGTGGAAAATAACGAAATGCGAGTAATTTGTTTGGGGATTTGATACAAAACACAAATGAAATTAGCATTTTTATTGCTTTGCTGCCGTTTGGGAATGTGCATGGAAATTAGCGCTGCCCACAAAGGTCTTAAAGGGAAAGAAGCGAATTATGGAGAAAACTTGTCAAAGTTGCCTCGGGGTTGTGTGAGTTATGGCTCAGGAGTGTGCCAGTCCGCGTGCTAGGGTGAGAGGAATGAAGTCGGACTGAGTTTCCTCCGGTTTCTTTCTGGAAGAACTGCGACCACTAGCGGGTTACCAGGCTGAGGGGTAAATAGAAAACTCAAGTTCAAGCTATTCAACTCAAATGTTAAACTTCTGCAAGTATTTTTTGTTCAAACATTTATTTTTCATGTCAATAATTTAATCAGTCTTGTCTTTATTGAAGATCCCATAGTATCCACATGATGCTCTTATCAGCTGCATCTTTAATTAAAATAAAAGCAAAGAAAATCGCGTCATCTACTTATTTTTCCTTAAATTTGCTTTTAGTTGTAACGTTTTATTTGTGTTGAGCAACACATTTTTAAGTTCTGACCACTAAATCGTCTAGATAAAAATATAACTCAAGGGATGATCCTTGCAGAGAACTACTTTTATTGGACATTTTGGTAAAAACAACCAACTCATTGAATCTCTGTTTTTTTTATTTAGTTTCAAAAACATTTTCAAATTTATTGACATAAAAATGTTTGAACACAAAGATGGTCATTGCTGAAGAGTGTCTTTTTTAAAAGTTGGGGATGAGCTGACAGAAAACAAGGACTACAGATCAGGTCTTGTTTCTAAAAACTTGACTTTTAGAGCCTTATAGGTGTTTAACCCTGACAGTCAGTGACTCAGTGCAATCTGCTGGGTTCCTTATAGGAAACTTTTAACCAATTAGCGTAATGAACTGAACTCAATTGGAATATTTACTTTGTACCTTGAGACTCTTCTTGTGATTTGACGCTATACAACTAACCTGAATAAACATTTATTTTTTGTTCATCACTTATTTGCTGTTTTATAAGCAGATGCTGTTCAGTGTGCTACCCTTTTCACAACTGAACATCAGACAAAAATCAGCCAAAGTCTAAAGAAAATTGTTTACACCACTTTGATAGATTACGAGTGTGTTTGAAAGAAAAGTATAACAAAATGTGGCCTATTTCTTGGTTTACATGATTCAGCCCATTTATGTTATTTCAGGTACCTTGTGTTGCCAAAATCTTGAGAAATGACTAACATTGAAGCTGCTGCTGAACTCAGCTTCCTTCTCACATTCATTCTTCTTAATGTTGAACCTGCAACGTTGTTGGGAACAGATGAGAAATGTGTAAAGAACCAGTGAGAACATCTACATGCAGGCGGGTTTTATCAATTAGTGCTTTATTTTTTTAAGTTTTGCTTAGCAGAACCCATGTGTTTAGAAATAATTGTGGTGCAACAGGGTTTCAATCATTTACGTGAAGCTGTGCTGGATTTTGATGTCTACGCCATTTAACTCAGCTAGTTTGATGTCAAGGATTGTTCATACTGTGCTGGAGTATTCTTCTTTTTCTCTACATGGATTCAAAGTAAACAGAATTTCTACTCTTAATGTTTATCATCTTCTTCAAAAAAGTTCTAAACTCTAGGGACAAAAAGTTGATTTGCTTTTGTCTTAACCCATTAGAATGTATTAATTTAGTGGAAATTATAATGTGAGATGTGTTTTTGTATTTTCTTAAGCTATTGGAACTTGAAAAAAAAGTATTTTATTGGGTTCTTTGTGGGCAGACTCACTATCTGTGAATCAACATCTCCATTAGTTTATGCCATTAAATTCATTGACGTGTTGAAAGTTTCATTAATTGAACTTTAAAAGTTTAAAATCCACAACTAAACTTCTAACACTTGTAAATGCAAGTTAATTTGGAATCTTTCTGTTTGTTTTGGCATTTTTATAGGGATTTTTAAAATATGTGTGAAAATAATAAGCATAGAAATCAATTTATGTTTTGAAACACCAAACACTTGAGCAGTTTGTCTCAGAGGAGCTCCTTCTCAGAGTCTGATTGTTAAAATCGAATTACCGTAATTTCCAGACTATAGAGTGCACCTCAATATAAGCAGTGTCGCTCTCCTGGGCGCTTTCCATAGCACTCTAACCATTCCTTCATTAGACTTTCTAGCATCCATCTTTTCTGGTTGTCTAAAGCCGCACCTCATTATAAGCCGCATGGTTCAAAGCGTGGAAAAAAAGTAGCGGCTTATACATACGGTAGTTCCAATTGTAGTGCAGAACATGGTGGAGATCCCATTTTCTGTCAGTGTTAAGATTTGTTACCAAGGTAGTTGCACCGATTCTACCTAGATATGGACCTATGTTCAATTCAATTCAAATCAAGTTTATTTACATAGCTCCAAATTACAACAGAAGTAATCTCAAGGAGCTTCACACAGTAAACATTCCAATACATGTCTGTTCATTAAGCCAATCAGTAAAAGTTTCCTATATAAATAACCCAGCAAATTGCATCCAGTCACTGACTGGTGTCAGTGACTTTACAGCAATCCTCATACTAAGCAAGCATTTAGCAACAGTGGAGAGGAAAACTCCCTTTTAACAGGAAGAAATCTCCAGAGGATCCTGGCTCAGTATAAGCAGCCATCCACCACGAGTCACTGTGTATCGAGAAGACAGAGCACACACACACACACACACACACACACACACACACACACACACACACACACACACACACACACACACACACACAAACCAAGTAGTGTTTTTTATGGTAACATTGTGATTTCTTAGTAATAATTGTTATTAGTGAGAGATAAACTTTATTGTATTTATCCTAGTGAATCTATAATTAATAAAACAAGTAAACTAGTAGCAGCACATTCAATATCAAAGTAAAAACAGTAAAAAGTTATTATCAGGAGAGGGAGAATGTTTAAGTGGTTAGAAGTGGTGTTCAAGCCAATACCCCCCTCCATGAGGCCACCACAGCTCAGTAGAACATCATTGTAGCTTCTTCTGGGGAGAAAAACACTTACAGAGAAAATAAAGTTAACAGCTGAAATAGCAGGAAATAATACAGTTAAAGAGCTGATTGTAGAAGAAAGTAGTAGAGTGTGGAAAGTGGTCAGTGTATCCTCCAACAGTCTAAGCCTATTGCAGCATAACTACAGAGATAACTCTGGATAACCTAGCCTTTTAGATGGAGGCATGTTGGAGGCAGGGCAAGGGAGAGCCGTCTTTATCGACTGTACACTCCACCTCCCTCTACTCCCCCACTTGTCCAGATCTAGGCTAACATCAGATTTTAACCATAGGCCCTATCAAATAAAAATGTTTTAAACCTATTCTTAAAAGTAGACAAGGTGTCTGCCTCACGAACTAAAGCAGGGAGCTGGTTCCACAGGAGAGGAGCCTGATAACTAAAAGATCTGCCTCCCATCCTAATTTTAGATATTCTGGGAACCACCAGTAAACCTGCAGTCTGAGAGTGAAGTGCTCGGTTAGGAACGTATGGAACAATCAGGTCACTGATGTATGATGGAGCTTGATTATTAAGAGCTTTATATGTGAGAAGGAGGATCTTAAAATCTATTCTGAATTTAACAGGTAGCCAATGTAGGGAAGCTAAGACAGGAGAGATATGATCTCTCTTTTTAATTCTCATCAGAACTCTAGCTGCAGCATTTTGGACAAGCTGAAGACTTTTAACTACATTCTGTTGACTTCCTGAGAGTAATGACTTACAGTAATCCAGTCTTGATGTAATAAATGCATGAACTAGTTTTTCAGCATCACTCCTGGAAAGTATGCTTCTAATCTTAGCAACATTCCAGAGGTGGAAAAAGGAAGTCCTACAAACCTGTTTAACATGGGATTTGAATCACATGTCCTGGTCAAAGATAACACCAAGTTTCCTTACTTTGTTCTTTCTGTCTTTAATTTGTAAAGACTAATATCTTTTGTGAGGCAAACTCATTTCCGATCCAAATGGCGATTGCTGAGGAAGGCTTATTTAAAAAGCTGATTATAATCTTACAGAAAACAAAGATTACACATCAGGTCCTGTTTCTATTTTTCATGTCAATAATTTAATCAGTCTTGTCTTTATTGAAGATCCCATAGTATCCACATGATGCTCTTATCAGCTGCATCTTTAATTAAAATAAAAGCAAAGAAAATCGCGTCATCTACTTATTTTTCCTTAAATTTGCTTTTAGTTGTAACGTTTTATTTGTGTTGAGCAACACATTTTTAAGTTCTGACCACTAAATCGTCTAGATAAAAATATAACTCAAGGGATGATCCTTGCAGAGAACTACTTTTATTGGACATTTTGGTAAAAACAACCAACTCATTGAATCTCTGTTTTTTTTTATTTAGTTTCAAAAACATTTTCAAATTTATTGACATAAAAATGTTTGAACACAAAGATGGTCATTGCTGAAGAGTGTCTTTTTTAAAAGTTGGGGATGAGCTGACAGAAAACAAGGACTACACATCAGGTCCTGTTTCTAAAAACATGACTTTTAGAGCCTTCATAGGTTTTTAACCCTGACTGTCAGTGACTCAATGCAATCTGCTGGGTTCCTTGTAGGAAACTTTTAACCAATTAGCGTAATGAAATGAATTCAGTTTACCTTGTACCTTGAGACTCTTTCTTTGATTTGACGCTATATAAATGAACTGAAATGACATTTCATGACCAATTAAAATTACGTTAAATTAAAATTTTGTTTTATCTAATTTCTGAGGGAAATTCACAATTTCTTAGTGGGGAAGTCATTTAATCAATGAAAATCCTCACATCTCCGCACAGTTGTTACAAACTGTTAAACTGTTTTTCTTCACAATGTTCTATAGAACACCTTTTAAAACTCCAATAACGTGTTTTTATGTTGTGATATGAAACAAAAAGTGTAGAGAGAAAATTTAAAGGGTC